AAAAAAAAAAAAAAATAAGACTAGGTTCTTGTATTAAAATACAGATATGTAGACACAAACCTTAGTGAATACAGTTGGACTAATTACGGACTGATGCAATCTGTTAGTCAAATCCGGTTCGAATGGATTTTTAATGAATTTTCTCAATTTGGATGGTGGAGTGATGTGACTCTGTAGGATGGAAAATGGCAAACGTTGCGTGTTGCTTTGGCATGTCGTTTGTTTCGTACCGGCCTCATGTTGCTTATTTGGGGTCTTATGCATCCAGAGATTATTTATCAATGGGCTCTCGCACTTCCGCACTTTGTTCGACATATCCCATCTCGATTGTTCCATTACAAAACGAGTCACAGAGATGTATTCCTTTTTGCCGGTGGGGGACTTTTCAACCTATGAAATTCACGTTTGCTTCGAGATTCTTACGTTCAAATTCAGTTATAGCTACGAAACTTTGTCAATTTCGTCAATTATTTTAGAGTATAAGTAACAGCGATATTTCTCTAACGACTGTTTATAAATTGCACATTGGAGTTTACTGTAAAATTACATGCAACACTGCAATAATTAAAACTTTTGAATTGTTTTGAACTCTTGAAATTCGTCATTCAGAATGTCCAACTTTTCAATAATATATTTCTCTAGTGCAAAAATTCTGTTAACAATTGGCTGCTCTTGTTCTGGCCGATTCACACGGTACGAGAAATAATTAGTTTTAATTGGTGTACACTTTCAAATTTGCCAATTAGATTTGTTTTTCAAAATCCTGCCAAAACTATCTTCTTACACTTTCGTAATCCATGGCACATCTCCGCAGAGAAAAATATATATTTACGTGATCTATATGAGATCACATATAAATCGTCTATACATATCTTCGAATTGCGGACGGCTGCCGACCGAATATGCTGTCCGATTTCGCGCTTACCGCATGGTATATAAAGTAAAATCACATATTTCACATAAGTACAGATTTTTATCGCTAGTAAAAAATGCGCTGAATAAAGAATATAAGGAAGCATCGTGAAAGGGTTACGTCCGTCAGTGAATGTGAGTACTGCATCTTGACATCTGACATCCGATCTGTTTTAGGTTATAAAGATTAAAAACGAGATTTCTCGCGATAGTGATTGCTCAATGCGCATTTATTTCAACAATACGGAATAATTGCACTCGTGTTGCTGAATACTTTCAAGTTGTACGCGCAGATGACGGCCGTCTTTTAACATTTTCAACATTGCTATGGTTATGTGAATAATACAGTAGTGGACATTTTTAGAATATGTATTTATACTTTGCAACTTTTGGCCAACAGTATGTCATTAGTGTATATTTAGAGAGGATAAAACTATACTATTTGCAGATAAATAAAGTACAAGGAATTATTTTGGGTTGATACAATCCCATATCATTGTTTATGTTATCTGTTAACGTACCATATTTGTCATATTTTTCAACACAAAGCCTTGTAAAATGTGACATTATTCTTTACTATTCTGTCAAATAAGTTTAATAATCGCAGATAATATCAGAATACTTTGCTAATATTGTTGTTTTTTTTTTTTTTAGAAGGATAAATCAACATGGCAGAACAACAACAAACACCACCAGGTTTTAAGCATATGTCTCTGGATAAGATTATCGAAGCTATGACTGCGGATTTGGAAAGCTCGAGTGGCCATTATGTTCAGTTCGGTGTTACTCCACAACAACCGACTTCTCATAATTGGGGCGATTACGCACCTGGACAAGCTAGACATCACATCGCTAGCCAACCAACGCATTCCAGTCCTTCCGGAATACAACCTATGACACCAATGACCACTTCTCTGTACATGCAGGATATGCCGAGTTACGACGCCACAACCACCGAATCGATATATTTCCCGCCGCAAACGGTAAATCATCTCGGTATTAACGAGAATAATGATTTGATCGGTACCATCGACGTTGGAGGCGGGAATTACATCAATGTTATATATGGAAATGCTTCTCAAATCATGGCGGAGCAGTGTCAGCTCCCAAACATAACGCCGTACCCTAATCAGGGTATCGTCGATCAGGAATACGGTCTTTTCAACGATCAGCATATGGCTGTGCCGTCCGAATTGCCGAGTCAGAATTTTAATGGAAAACAGCTGATCGACAACTTGGTCGGAAACTGGGTGCCAAATCAATCCGGAACGTACAGTCCATTTGGCGGATCTCCCAATATCACGCCCGCACCGCAGTCGGTGTCGGACATAAGAGAGACCGACGAGCTACCGAGAAACACGTTGGATTCTCAGCATAAGAAACCGAGGATGGTGGCGGAGGTGAAGCCTATGCGACCTTCTTACTCCGATGTTTTAACGAAATCCGCGCCGACTCCACCGTCTCCGTTGACGATTCAGCCCATAAAACCGAAAGTTGAAATAGCGGGTAAGAAGGTCTCTAATAAGAATGCCAAGAGTAAGAACAAACCTGTGTTATTGAAGAGACAGAATTCGTCCGGCAGCGACGAACATCACTCTCCGAAAATGCAGATACCTAGAAAAGTTTTAGAGAAGAATTCTTCCAATCTTCCGAGACGTTGGGTGTCGCTGGACAACCTTGGCTCACAGTCCGATTCCACTCAGATAAATGCTTTCGAGAGATCCGACCAGTTCTCTACGGACAGGAAGAAACCTGTGAAACCGCCGAAGAAGGCGGAGAAGAACGAGACCCTTAACAACACGAAAATACAAAATAGTAATCCCAAAGTTGCTGGAAATATTCCGAAACGTCCGATACAGATAAACAACAACTTAAATACCATTAACACATCTAGCCAGACGGTCTCATCTGAAAAAATTGAGAAGAATCAACAAATTATCAACAAGATCAGTAAAGAGGATAAAAAAGTGACAAAGGAGAAGAATCCGAAACGTTTTCAGACCGAAAAAACACAACAAATTAAAAAAGGACAAAGAAACAGAAGAAGAGAAAATCGAGAGTCTCCCGTTAAGGATTTATGTAAAAATTTAAATAAATATGCGACTCGTTGGAGTAAAGTTGTGTTGAAAATATTTTATTGGCTACTGCATCTGATTTCCGATGTAGTTAGTATGAGCGCCAATCTGGTTATCCAGCTGTAAGTATTAATTATTTCAATATCTTCTACACAATAAATAAACTATTTTCAATATTCTAACATTTTTTTCGTATTTTTCAGTGGCAAGTGTGCTTGGTATCATACCATACTTTATTTAAAGTGTTGGTGGGTGCATATGGCTGTGACATTTTCTAAAATTCGTATTTTAAACGCTATCGGTAGACAATTAGACAAATGGTTCGGTAGTAGTAAGTTTGCATTTTGGCGAAAGATAAATACGAAGAAGAGCGAGGAGAAGGAGGACAACGGTAATTGGATCCACGGCGGACTGGAAGCTAATATCGCATTACCCAGCACCGGCGAGGAAGCCATGAAGAGATTATTGGCGTGCAAGGGAAAGGATCCTTATAGCATACTTGGTGTCACGCCGACATGTTCGGACGATGATATCAAGAAATATTATAAAAAGCAAGCTGTCTTAGTACACCCGGATAAGAATAATCAGCCGGGAGCGGAGGAAGCGTTCAAAATTCTGGTACATGCCTTCGATATCATTGGAGAACCGGTAATAAAGCATTCATTTTACTTTTAATTTTGTTGCAATAAAATGAGATATCGAAAATCAACAATAAGTTGCTGCTTTATTTATAACTGTAAAATGATGTAACTTGTTTACGTTGTATGATCATTTTAGGAGCGTAGACAAGCGTTTGATCAAACCAGGCAGGTCGAAGCAGCTTGGGGCGAACTGAGTGATCTGCTGTCTCAACTTCATCGAAAGATGGAGCAGGCGGCAAATACGATAAGATGTACAAATTGTGGCTTGAGACACAAACGTGTTCCTACGCAACGTCCTTGTTACGCCGCACGGTTTTGCGCTCAATGCAAAATACGTCACAGTGCGAAAGAGGTAAGTGTCGAATTTCGTATTTCTATGTGTTTATCCGTGATGCGTTAATCAAGTTAATCGTTTAAATCTGTCCAGGGTGATATTTGGGCAGAGTCTCGTTTAATGGGTTTCCTATGGCACTATTACGCATGCATGGAAGGAGCGGTGTACGATGTAACTGACTGGGCTGCTTGCCAAGCTGGGAATCTCAAACATCTCAGAGCGAATTCACATAGTGTCCAATATAGGATCGTTTTAGGGCAAAGATTACCGTCTCAAACATCCAGCAGCGGTAAAAAGCGGCAACAAATAGATCCAAACACAAGGTACATTTTATATCGTGTTGTACTGTGCAATTTTATCTTTAAAACTAGTATCGTGCCAAACTATCATTATATTTAGTAAATTCTTCGTTGAATATAGATTTAAAATAAATAGAGAATTTTTTTTCATTAAATAGTGAAGCGGATTTCGAGGACTTTTTAAACAATCTCTACAACCATAGCAAATCTGCTAGCAGTAACACATCAGGGGATCAAAACTCTTTTAGAGGAGATTGCAGACGACGCAAAACTAAGCGTAAGAAGTAGATAAGTAATAGCAGTGACAGAAGTAACTTTGAAGCGTTTGGTACCGACATTGTATAACTGCGAAGTGCGTATTATGAATGTATACTATACACAATCTTAACTTGACATTATCATTAAACAACTAACTTTAGCATATAGGCAAATATTCATGAGACACTAACATTTGACTGATACATGATATGAGATTATGCAAAACTCTGTGTTCATGATGAACATACGCGTAGTAAATGTCACCGCATCAACTAGAATCATAACTCGCATTGGAAAACTGGAGTGACAAGAAAGTATCATAACGATGCGCGATAACGCAAATATTCAATGAACGAACTATATCAGTAATGCAACAGTCGACATTTTGCCAGTTTAAAATAATAAAAACATTAACTTTCTAGGCTAAAATATAATACATGTCGAATAACGTTTGTGGAAATATTATGTTGCAAAGTCATATTTGCATTAAGGTTTCGACATTGTACGTAACTTCATAGTAAACTTTCTGTTCTTCCAGAATTAGAAAAAGGTAAAAGTATCAAATTACATTTATAAAAAATATATATTTTATTTTATTGTCTTTTATTAATTTAATAACAAAAAATGTGTGCAATATAAGTCGTGATTTATAAATATTTCACATACTTAATTCAATTAAAAAAAAAAAATTGGCAAATATGAAGAAGACTGATTTCTTCTCTCATTTTTTGTTATTTACATAAGTTATATGTTAGAAACATTTCTGATGATATACTCCACTATGCATAAAAATAGTTTAAATTTTTCAGACAAAACCTAGTGTCCTACTCTCTTAATATATTTATACATATATGCTTCATATATAATAGAAAGTTTTAGAGAAACATTACATAAAATACGAAGCTCTAGAAGGAACATTATATATGTACATGAATGGGATGTTACATGACAAGAGCTATGCTGTCAGTTAAAGCGTATAGCAAAAGTACAGAACTCTTAAAAACTAATGTACGCGGATTACAGAAATTTTATCCTGGCAGATACTTGGTGAATAGTGTATCAAGAATAAGATAAAATTTATTGTCTATTTCATCAAAGATCCAGCGTATATGCGTGTACATTAATATAAATACTTTTTATAAGTTTTAACATGTAATAACTTACCATTAGTAACATTTTTCTTTCATGAAATATTGTGACCATCTTACATATGTGAAAGGATCTGTTGTATGCCGATGAGCAATGTAATAAATGCGTTTAAAAAGAAAGAATGGATTATATAGGTAAACTATAAATTTTTAGTTATATATTTTTAAAACTCACTCCTCTTTACATCTAAGGTTAAAATTTATCACATAAAAAAGGATGCAATGAAAAAGGCAGTTTTATTATATGGATGAAAAAGTATACTGAATCTTTATATAAATTTATTTCTTCATCATTTAAGCATATTGCTCCAAATATTAAAATATTCCTATAGTTTTTTTTTTTTTGACAAAAATTTTTGACAAGAAGACATTGACGGAAGAAAGATTTTTGACAAAGTTTTACATAAATACAAAAATATTAATGCCATTCATTCAGTAAAAAATACCTCTCTAATTCAGCACGTCCAATTCTGTTATGGATGTTCATCGCAAGATTACAATTACTCCAGCATGCTTTCCAAAAATACAAGAGCATCGACGTTATTAATCGCACTTTCTACATCACGTTTCTGAACAGTCCTTTTCTTCGCTTGCACGGTATATTTGTAAGCTTCCTTTGCAAGCGAATCAATAAAAAGTTCCTGGCGAAAGATCGACAATTAGTGAAATATGCTACGAGCCATGGAAATCAATTGCTGAACACTACTTACCGCCGATTTTGTTATCAGAAACACAGCCTCTTGATTGACCATAGAAACTTCAGGATCCATCTTGATAATTGTTTTTATCCTACCCAGCGGCAATTGCACTAACTTTTCCCGCTGTTCCTCGTCGCCGTGGAGAGCATTGTCGGTTTCCTCCTGCGAATTCTCTTCAGTGGCAAAACTTCTGTTTTGTTCGTCGACTGCGGAATTCTCCATGTTGAGACACTATGTTTACAGCTGATCAATTTCGATCAATTCTAACCTATGATTGCTAACATAAAAAATAAAACATAATTTAGTAGAAAAAGAAAAAGTTAGTTTAATACTTTTAAGATTTTCTGAAAATTTAAAAATATAATTTTATACATTGCAAAAAGGAAATAGTGTTATGTTTCTGTTTATGTTAAGGTTCGACAAAAGTGACGGCCGAAATCGGATCGTCTGAGTCCAAATTGATTTTGATGACCTCATGCGAGGAAACTATGAAACTCCGGACAAACTATCATTGAATGATTGTTGATTAGCTATACTTTGTTTAACAATCGTATTTATTAATATAAACAATTTAAAAAAATTCCAAAATTTTTTAATTTTACTACAAAACTTCACAAACAAAATGCAATCAATTACGAAAAACATTTTTTATTTTATAATACATATCGGCTAGTTACGTGGTTTACAGTTAAACAAAAATTAATTATGAAGAAAAAAATGAAAATGATTGCACTACAATAATCTACAAACGAAATACAATCGATTTCACACCAAATTTTTTACAAAACTGTTAGCCGTCGGCTAACATTACAGGATTCAATAAGACAATTGCTCTCGCTGGCCGATTAATACACAATCCTAACAGCGTAAAGAATTTTATTGTCTATTAAGCACCCCTGGGAACGGATTAAAACTGATAAAAAAAAATAATAATAATAATAAAGTTACAAACGTAAAAACTGATGAGAACAAAAAAATAGAAATTATGGTTAAATTATATCTTGTCGACCCTTAAGTAATCGATAGTTAATAATTTAATAATCGAACATCGATCATATGCATTTCAACGATTATCGATACATTTTGCAACATAACCTTTTATAATTTTCGTATGGTTGTTTAGGTTATTAGTCTAGTGCGGAATTGTAATCGTATTTTTGTGTCACAAAGATTGCAAATTAATTTAATTTTAGTTAATTAGAATACGATATGGTTTTCTTATCGTTAAATCTGTTAGCAAGAAGCCGCGGACCTGATGAATTTTGGCGCAAACGAAAAATATTGAAGCTTGCCGCGGTAAATAATCTATATCTGACATATATTATCTATATATTTTTTATAGGATTTAACATTTTCTTAATTCTATTGATTATTAATAAGTTTAAGTAGATTGTAAGACTTTAATACATTATTTTTATTGACAGCATTACATTGGCAGAAAAAGGAATTGCTATAGTTTAGCTATCAGAGCTGTACATAGAGCTTTGGTATACTCCACTCGAGGTAGACAATTAAAGAAAGAAGATATGATGGAGGTCTTTATTCTGAAATATATTAAAATTTACACACAGCTACAATTCTGTAGGAAGATTTTGTAATTATTGCCTTTATATTTTCAGTTGCGAGAGCAGAGGATAGAAGCTGCTATAGAACAACATGGTATAAATTTTCAAACTTTTAGAGAAGGATTAGCAAGATGCTCGATTTTCTTGAATCGCAAATCATTAGCTGATTTAGCAATTTGGGAACCTCGATCTTTTAAAGCTCTTACTGATATTGCTAGCGCAAGAGCAAAACAAGACCATCTGAAGTCTGCTGTAAATGTTGAAATACCAAAAAGCGTTATTGTAAGAGGATCGATTAAATGAATTCTTGCAAAGGTTGTATAAAAAAAGATTTTTTCCATCTTCTTTCAACATTTATTGATAATCCTTTATATTTTGGCATTGGTCTATTAATAATAATAGTACTATAGTTGATAGATATCTTCGATTTTTAATTTTGCGCAATGAATATTTTGCAGCACCATAAATACATTTGAGTCATGTGTACACTAGTCATTCATTTCAACAACAATGTAACATGTATCTTTAATATTAAGTAGCTATATTGTATTCACTTTAGAACTTGAAAATATATGATAGATATGGATGTAACTTTCCTTTACAGCATTACATTTTTGGTTAAAACAGGCTTTATACATTCGAACAGAATGCAACAACAATACGCAGGTCTCTGCATACTCCTAAATAGGAATGAATCTGTTATATTTTGTTCGATGATAGGTTTATTAAGATAACACTCCTGTCTTGTTACTAAGGATTTTTTAGCTACGAGCGTTAACGATTTGTACAAAATCCGGTTTTAGTGATGCACCGCCAACCAAAAATCCATCTATATCCTTTTCCTTCGCCAAATCTTTGGCATTGCCCGCTGTCACGGAACCGCCGTAGATAATACGTAGACTCTGCGAGACGTTGGAATTGATATTCTTTGATAACCATTCGCGCAATTTCTCATGGACCTCTTGCGCCTGCTGCGGCGTCGCAGTTTTACCAGTACCAATTGCCCATACTGGTTCGTAAGCGAGAACTACATTGTCCCAAGATTTAATCTTGTCCGCTATCGCCTTGGTTTGCCTATAAACTACTTCCTCGGTTTTTCCTGCTTCCCGTTCCTCTAACTTTTCGCCTATGCATGCAATCACCTGGGGAACGCAAACATTAATTTTTTTAATAATTATTTTATTGGCTTACTTTTTTATATATTTTATTGAAATCTTAATAATTATGGCTTACTTTCAGTCCCGCTTCTAAGGCATGCGCAACTTTTTCTGCAGTTAACTCATCCGTTTCACCGAACACGTTTCTGCGCTCCGAGTGACCGAGGATCACCCAGGGGATGCCGTTATCCAGAAGCATGGCTGGACTAATTTCACCGGTGAATGCACCTTTGGAAACTTTGTACGTGTTTTGTGCACTGACACTAACATTGCTGGGAACGATGGAGGTCACATATGTGAGGTATATCGAAGGGACTCCAACTACCACTTCTGCAAATTACACAAAAAATTCATCTTTTTTTGAATTTCAACAAACTCACACGAATGAAACAAAATGTTACATAAGTGTCTGCTTTAGATGTCAGTGAGATTTTCTGATAAATTTGAAGATTTGCCTACTGCAAAAATGCCGATTGTTTGAAAGTTTAAATGTTAAATATCACAGTGAGCAAAAATTTGGAATATTTGATGAATTTATTGAAAATTAATTGAAGTACAAGACACTAATAATAGCACTGTTAAACTTCAATTAGCTCTTCTGTCATTATCTGTCACTGGAAATTGGCAGAGGCTACTTCTGATGCAAGAGAACACCTTACGGAATACCGTGTATGTGCATATGGAAATTTGGCAACATACCGACATTCGGATCGAGCGGGCCGGTCTTCAGGAAAGCGACGATATCATTGATCTCGCTCTTCGTGCCATTCATCTTCCAGTTACCGCCAACGAAGAATTTGCGTGCCATTTTTGTTTGAATGTCTCGTAACAGCTGATATTTGGATGTAGCACAACCTACAGCAAGGTTCTCTTCGAACAAGCTCACCCTTTCGACCTTCACGCGTTTATCAAGGTGAACGAATATTGCCACTCGTTCCTCCCGTCACGATTTTCCCCCCACCATATTCATTACGATTCCCCACCTTGTTCATTGCATAGATTTGTCTCTAGATTTGCCGTTCCAACTGCACCCTCTGCACTTAGCTTTGCATTTTCTCTCTCACTCTAATACTTAAATACATACATTTCTTTTTAAGAACAAAAAGTGCAGGAAAGCACAGCTAAAACTAAACAGATCTCATCTTGGTCCAGATATGTAAAAATATAAAACAATAATTGACACGGATTTATTCTACTAATAAAATCTCTGACGAAATTAATGCAAGTACGAATATTTATATAGATACATTCGTGTTTTTTTGCCATTTAAAAGTTGTACAACTTAAGGTTAGGTTTTCTAACCCTCTTTGCGCGCAATATTTGTATTCTTTATTTATTTATTAGGATTATGTTCTTTTTAACCGGATAAGAGAGGGAAGTATACTTACTGCATTTGACGGTAATAGAAAATCGAAATAGTGATTTGGTATGAATTACATGTGCGCTTATAGCATTCGTTAATATAGCTCTTATCAATAACATTGCGAAACTTGCTGAAATCTTCGTAAACAAATGCTGAAGAACACTAATTGCTCACAACAATGTTGTGCGCAATTTAGATACTGTATCTATGATTTTTATAATAATATTTTAACATATATATAGATTTTTTTTAAATACATTCTTTTGCCAATTTTACAAATAATTTTAATATAATTTTAACACACTATTAATATATTCTCTTACATTATTCTTGTTTATTCATGAATCTCGATCCTGTTTTGATCTATAAAATTATTTTTATTAACAAATTGTTACAGATAATATATATTGAAAGATGGCTAGCGAGGAAATAATTGAGGCTAATAAGAAACCACAGCCTGTGTTTAAGAACCGCTTGTTTCAACAAAAATTTCGTCCGACCAGCACTAGTGGCAAGAAACGTACTTGGCGTTCATTAAAACAAGTTTTGGCACAGGAACGCTCATTGCCATGGCCAGCAATAATAAAACATTGTACGTGAAGTGATAAAATCTTTATTTCCTCTATTATTGCATTCGTACATTAATCTGAGAGAATTCAAATTGTAATAATAAGACAGTCAAACAATTTGCATCAAAAATAAAACAGTTTATATCGATACATGAGTCAAGTATTGTAAAGAGAAATATGATCTATTGGTATTTGTCAGCACATTTCTTACAAATTGCAGATAGTTCCATCAATGCACCACCAAGTTTCAAACCTGCTAAGAAGTACTCTGATATTTCCGGCTTACCGGTGAGTACTGCTTTTTTTATACTCTAAGTTTTCTTTTTTTACATTTTAAAGATACTCACAAACTGGTAAATGTTCTATACTATAAATTACAACAGACTTATTTTGTAGGCACGATATACGGATCCACAGACTAAATTATATTATGCAACTGCCGAAGAATTCGCAACAGTTCGCAGTTTACCTATGGACATAACAGCAGGATATCTAGCTTTACGCGGAGCATCTAGCATCGTTGGTTAAATAATTCAATACTTAGATAGTATTTTCGTATAAATTGTGGTCCATGCAATTTGGCACAATAGTTATTTCGAATACATATTTGCGTTTACAAACAAGAGGATTTTCTTAGAGGGAGAGACGGAACAATTCAAGAGACAGAATAAATAAAGTATCGATATTTTTTTTATCTTATAGAGAACGTTTGTAACATTTTGTCATACCTGCCAATAGTGCTTTGTTTTAGGATTTTTCAAAATAAACAATTTCATGGATAATTTTGTGTTACTCTCATTTTTCATTTTCTTTTATTACTTTACACAATACATCATTAAAAAAGCTTGTCCATTACAACTTAGTATATGAACTACAAGCTAATTGAGGAGGCGGTAGAGATGTGGAGAACCCTTCAAGACCAGTATTACTGTGCGACAATTGTTACCGCATTATACCTTTACAGTTTGCTTGTTTTTAGTCCATTTTGCATGTCCAGTTTGCTACTTTACAACACGATCATTTTAACAAATTTGCAATTGAAGGTACAAACAGCAAGGCCTATTGAAATATTGCCCAATTGTGCACTATTTTCAGGTTGCCATTTGCTTTTTTTAAATGTTATTAATTAAGTTTAATCGATGCTGTTATTTATTGTTTAATCATATAAATCAGGAAGATCTTCATCATCACTGTCGGCCTCATTATCTCCTAATTCATCTAAGTCATCAAAATTTGGCTTACTGTCACCAGAACCACTAAGACCACCCATCTGTCGCATCATCTGTTAAATAAGGTAAAAAATATTTAATCATTACATTATGTACATTTCTTTTATGATGAATTACATATTGAACACATGCTTGTCTCAATGTTTCCAAACTTTATGCAATTGCAAAAATTATTTAAATAATTTAAAATCTTGAAATTACAAGCACATCTTTGATTATATATGTAAATTAAAACTTAAATTTATTTGAATCGGTCTTACCTCTTCTAAATCTGGTGGGCTACTTTCATCATCGGTATCTTCCTCATCCTTCCATTTGTTAAAATCACTCTTTAACCAATGAGCCTTTGTTTTTTCTTTAATTAGCCGTGGCCAATATGGTCCCTCCTCCTTTTTAGCAAGAACTAATTCAAAGGTTCTGCCTTTCAAAGTCTTTCCAGTCTTACAGGGCTCAATTGCTTTATACAAGTTAATTGTAACCTCATGCATTTTATTATCTGTGCCTCCCTCCCCTTTGAAATATATCTTTTCTGGTTCAATTTCAATAATAGGATCTTTACAGTCTTCTAAGCAGATAGTAACAAATAACATATCTTTCCTTTGGGCCCACATGACAGGTGGGGGAGGTATCCTAAAAATTAAGAAAATGAGCAAATTTTAAAGAAAATATAATTTAAATTTCATTAAAGATTTTTTTTATCTAAATATAATCTCCGTTAGTTTCAATTTTCTAATTTTTAAATTTGACGATTTTCGCTTTTATATCCTCGACAATAAAATATTATTAACAATTTTTGCCACGCTTAGAATTATCTCCTATCATTTTGTTCATTAGATATCGTGCCAGCGAATCGCCAGCCGATTCCCACGTGCACAGAACATCGCCATCGGACCTGTTATGCATCTATAGGTTAGGGATAAAAGTTCAAGATCATAGCGATATATTGCATTCAAATTAATTCATCTATGATTATCATGCGAAATGCATTGGTGAGAAAGAGAGATCTGATTATTGATCATGTGGATCATTGTCAAAATTAAATCGAAGCGGGCCATCGTGAAAAAAATGTGAGTCTCATCTAGCTTTATTCTTCAACATGCAATCAGTCGTGATCTTTCGATTTATATGAATAACGATTGAACGAGGGCAAATCGAAGGCGAATCGAACGGCGAATAACGCGAGCGACAAATTTGCGTGCGAATTTTCGTCGAAAAAATGGATTACAACGCGGTTCTTGTCTGGAAACTTCGAGAATCAATAAACCGTCCACCAACATGGCGGTGGTTCGAAAGACCACGGGGGCGGTATTCCAAGTAATTCGTGTCAATTATCCGTGACTGTATGCGAATTGCACGATCGCAGGACTCGTTATTGAATCCAACGGCGCGAATCACCAAACTAATTTATGTCGATCGCGATATACTTACTGGCTTTCTTGCGTCATGTTTCCGACAGCTTCGCACGACGAGAGGGACAACAAACAGACAGCGCACTCACGCACCGCGCCGTCGACCCGATTCGAGATCGTTGCACTTCGAGATCTCGCATTTCGAGATCTCGCATTGCCTATCGATTAATAATGCATGATTTTATCGAAGTTCGGCGCTACATTCGCATTGTGGCGCTGTCTCGCGAGATCGTAGTTTGCTGTGCGCGGATATACGCGCAAACAAATTTTTTTCACATAATGATCATCCGCGTACGGCAGGTAATTCAATTGAAAAATAACAGAAATGTTTTAAAATTATTCACGGGAAAGGTATTTTAATTGTAAATTCTCTAATCCTTTGATCTTTGGATCTCATATCTAACATGTTGCGTAGTGCTTATATGTGTCGTTTGAAGTTGAATATGGTTGGAATTAAATGTATATTTCAAAGAAACAATGGAATAATTCACTTTCTTAATAACTCAAGAAAATTTTTCAATTTAATTTTTATTCTTTAGCTTGAAGATTGATCTTCCGAAGTTATTTGAAAGGTGAATTAGATTATTGTTCCATTTAACCTCTTAGTTTCTTCAACTCACTTTTTTCTTTTGCAGATTTATTTTGAAAGTGCCTGAAGTTAGTTATACGTTCTATTCAACAACTTATTTTGCTTCAAACGTTCAATGGACGCTAGCATTTGTTCCATGCAGGTATGTTTTGCTTTTATACATTCAAATAAATAAATCAGTCGATTATTCAGTAAATTTAGTATTTATGCAATACTTTGCGTAATTATCTTATCTTTCTCATTAAAAATGTTGAAGTATTTACATTACAAAAAAGCAAGTATCTAACAACGGACTTTTGCCCGCATTAACCAAAAGCTGATAAGGATTTTTATGCGTTTTTTATCGTATTAATTTTAATTCAGTTTTATTAGATATTGTAGATTCACATTTTCCTGTTATGCATGTCATAGTACAAATTTGAAATAAAATCACGTAAAATATCAGCGATATAATCGCCGCGAATTATAGCAATTTTTAGAAAGAAATAAAACAAGTATTTTTATATATATTATTAGCGGTCTCAGCATTGATTTCTTTTGAATTGAATAATACTTAAATATATATATATATATATAAAATAGTCTCTAACTTTTTTTTAAATTTAATACACAAATCTCTTCAAGCTTTACATTTTCGTTGCATTAAAAACAATTCTTATTTACAATTTTAATTGTAAGTTTTTTCTTTCGACGAGGAGAAGGCTGCTTATGAAAATTGGCAGCGATAGCAGTGACGAAAAAAAAAGGAACGCCGATATTGCGATAAATCGACACATACCCACATATATTAAGAGAGAGATACAAACAAAGTCGTCGGAGATTGTCGATTGTAGGTCATTCGTCGGGGGGGGAGGGGGGGGAGAAAACGGGGCCCGGGGAGAGGGAGACGCGGTTCGGTGGAGGGGCCACCCTTTTGCCGCGAACTAACTGGACATACGCAGACGGGTACAGGCAGTCTCACTCTTCCACAGGTTCGATTCAGGTGTGATCTGCCGTTGGCCGCGCGCTCTTTTCGCTGTTCGTTCGTGTATGCGTGTGTGCTTGCGTGGGTGCACGCAAAGTTGTCTCAAAGAGTGGCGCCCCACCTCCGTGTCGATCGATCGATCGATTGCGCGACGTGACGCGACGCGGCGCGGTGCAGTCGCGCGGCTTTCCGGTATACAGTGTACGCACACGTACGTTTTACTCCGCGCAATACGGACGAAAGTTCCTTGTGAGAAGGTAGGAAATAAGGTGATACGAAAAATAAAGGTGAATTTATACGAAAATATGAGATAGTGAAAAAATCAACGAGGATATTAGTGTGGAATAATAAAGATGTAAGAATGTAAAGATAGTTATATTACATCGTCTGAGAAATAAGAAAGTACTTCACTCAAGAGGTGAAATTATTTCGTTTTTTGTTTTTGTAAAAAGAAATTGTTTTCACAATTTGAAACTACAGCGAGACAAATATTACATAGAGTACTGTAAAAATATAATGATAACATAAGAGAACCATTTCTTTTTATATTTTATATTACATAACTTATTAATGATCAATCAAATCAAGTTTATATAATTGTAGATAACAGTCATAGTTTAAAGATATTTGTGAATTTACATTCTTCTTAATTAAAAATGAAATTAAATAAAAAGGAATAAAATAAAAGTTAAAAATTTAGATTTTATCAGTATGTACTCGACGCGTGCAAAGTTCGAGAGATAAACAAATTGGACGCAGCGTATTAAATCAATTGTTGCGCATGTTTCTATCTTTTCTTCTATATTTTAATATCAATGTCGTATTTATCGATATTTTCCGTGTGCAGTGTAAGTGCGACGAGGATTTCCGGAGCGAAAACGAGAGGAAAACCGCAGGAGCGGCCGTCAGGACGATGATCAGGACGACGCGACCTTCGATTTGAAGCGGGCATCGTCACCGGTTTGCGGCACCATGTCGACAAGTTCGCTCTTCTACAAGGACAAGTACGCGGTGAGTGCGTATATAATACACACCTACACGAGTTCGCACGAGTACGCACGCTCGTTTCTCCGCTTTCCCCGCCTGCCATTTTTAACCTTCGTAGTCGATCCAGGGTATCCATGTAATAAACATGCTCTTGTATTACTCTGGCAAATAATTACAATGTATAATTAAACACGATTTGAATAACAAATCTGATTTATTTTCGAAGCTGTCTTTCTTAGCAAACATTGCAACACAGAACAGTTGATGTTTACTACAACTTTCCAATTTTTATTATTTGTAATTAAGCCTTGAGCATTAAATTAAAGCGAAATTCACATTAAATTGGCTGAAGAATGTGATTTAATTATTTACTTGCTCCTATTAAACTTGTTTCGCAAAAACTCGGGATAATATTTCAGTAATGTGTTCAAGTAATTATTTTTTAATTTTATTCATTTTATTACATTACTTTGAATGTTTTATTAATATTTTATTAATTTATTACTTGTAGATAGATAAAACGTATATTATTTCATGTGAAACGCAATATGCAACTCATGATTTTAAGTTAGATTGACAAATTAGTTTAAATGATAAATTGTCTGATTAATCTGAAATTAATTACAAAGATTATAAATAATAAAAATTGGAAAGTTGTAGTAAACATCGACATTTTTGTATCACAATTTTTGCTAAGAAAGACATAGCTTCAAAAATCAATCAAGATTTGTTATTCAAGATTGTGTTTAAATTTCTAGTGAAAATATTGATGTAGGGAAGTTATCGTTTACCGCAACTTTCCAATTTGCATTATTGATAATTAAGCCTCGCACTAATATCTGGTTAAAAAAAGTGAAATTGAATAGTTGAAAGATATCTCTTTCTTTCTTTAAGTATAATCACTTTCTTAAATCGTTTCGTAAAAAAATTAATTTTAAAGAAGAAAAACACGGAGATAATAATTCATAATATGGAAGTCAAATGTGAGTTGAAAGTAAATTCATCAACAGACGAGAAAAGAATTTATCGATCAGTTTTACTTAGAATCACAATATAACATTTTTTTAAATTTCACGCAGTAATACTTTGAAATAAATCGTTTCACATTAACCTCATTTTTATTATACTTTGAATAATATTTCTGATATTTTTAATAGTGTTTTATTAATTCATAAATGGATGGATGAATATCAGTTTTCTCTATTGACCTGTGAGACTTACGAGGGTTAATGCACTGTTACCGGAGGAAAGCTAGGAAGATGAACGCGAAAGGTAGAGTAACGTTAGCCCGGAGAGGATACTAGAGAGCGGCGCGCGATATTCCGCTTTCCTCAGGTCACGTCGGCGGATATTTCCAGTTGAAGAGTTAACTCTTCACGGTGCTGTGGTTACTACTATCGTAACTACTCTCGGTTAACGTTAGTAACCACAAAATGACCGTTCGAGCCAGCTAATTTACATGGTGGTTACAACTATTAACCACTAGCTTCATCGAGTTTCTATGATTTATTGCTTTCGCGAAACAATCAGGTCTCTTTGATGTTGACGCTAGTCAACTTTTTCTTTTAGGAGCATTAAGGGAATATTAATTTCTCATTAAAATTGATAATGATTTTGAAAATTAATTAATGTAAATTATGGTCAGATAACTATTTGCGTTATTTTAATTTTTATTAAAACTAGAGGCACTTTTTGATCTTCGTATGAGGTTAGAATATAAATGTTTGTGCAAAGTTTCAGCGCTTGTTCTGGTGGACAGCGCGTAGTTTATACTTGTAGTAGGCGTAACTTAATCTCCATTTGTGGTGGCCGAGTCAACTTCATCGCATTTTTACAGATGTTGCTTAGTCATGGACTACACGACTCCCTGCTAGTACTTTAAATTTATTTCATAATTATATTATGATTCGAAGAAAGACAGATTGATGAATTATTTTTTTTTCTACTTACAATTTGCATTCAACTCATATTTAATTTTGTTCTCCATTTTAATTACAAGTTTTTGTTTCTCAAAATTGACAAAATTTTAAGATAGATTGTTTTGAGCTTGATTGATTTTATCGTCACTTCTTATTCCATTACATTAAATTGTAAAATAATTTATTTGAAAATCGAATACTTCTTTAAATTATTGTACATAAAGTATCTTGAAACATTTATTTTTTAATAACAGATTCTTTGGCTAATTTAGAATCGATTTTTCTTTAGCAAAAGGGAGAAAACATCATTTATTGCAACTTATTAGCAAAATTTTATTAAAATTCTTGTTTTATTGCAGTTGAAAGAGAAAGAACTTTTTGTGAACTAGACTTTAGGAAGAAATAGTTAACAAGAAATACAATTCTTTAGTTAGTTTCAGTATCTGTTATTAAATAATTATTGGTGGTTTCGAGACACTTTGTATAAAATCTTGAAATGGAAACGCAATCGTCAATCTGCTATTGTTATTTCGCGCTATAAATCTTACAATCAAGTTACTATCGGAAAGAAATACGTTAAGATAGATTATCGCGTCTCGAGACATATCTATCTCTCAATCGTATAAGAAAGTCGAAACTGACGGATTTCGTAATTAA